ACAAGAATAAGAAACCCAAATGTCCAACTAATGAATGGATAAATAAAAGGTAGTATAGCCATAGAATGGAATATTCGTCAGCAATAAAAAGGAATGAGATAATGATACAAACATCAAGATGGATAACCCTTGAAACAGTATGCTAAGTGAAAGAACCCAGACACAAAACACCATATGCTGCATGATTCCACTTAAATGAAATGTCCAGAACAGGGTACAGACTTTCTTTTTGGGGATGATGAAATGACTGAAGATTGTGGTAATGGATGCAGAACATAATATACTAAAAACTGCCAAACTATATACTTTAAATGAGTGAACTCTATAATATGTGAATTATACCTCAAAAAAACTTTAAAAGAATAAGAAAAAAAGTTTGTGAGAACAGTTTAAAGTATAAAATCACTAGCTTTAGAATACATTTGCTTCTTTCTTAAAGAAAGAGTTTCCTGATATTTGAGTATCTCTGACATGTAGGCAAGAAAGAATGAGACTGGTGGAAGAATTAGGAGAAAATACTTAAAATTACCACACCAGGGGTGCCTGGGTGGTGCATCTGCGTTAAGAGTCTGACTCTTGGTTTCGGCTCAGGTCGTGATCTCAGGTTGGGAGATGGAGCCCTGCATCAGTCTCCCCGCTGAGCGCAGACTCTGCTTGAGACTTTCTCTCCCTCTCCCTACCCCCTAAAATAAATAAATAAATCTTTAAAAAAAAAAAATTACCAAACCAGACCATAACGTCTCTACAAATCCTTCTGTGGAAAACAAATCTGACATCTATTCTTATCCTTCCTTTCAAAATTCTAAGGTTAAGGGGCGCCTGGGTGGCTCAGTCGTTAAGCGTCTGCCTTCGGCTCAGGTCATGATCCCAGGGTCCTGGGATCGAGCCCCACATTGGGCTCCCTCCTCCGCGGGAGGCCTGCTTCTCCCTCTCCCACTCCCCCTGCTTGTGTTCTCTCTCTCGCTGTGTCTCTGTCAAATAAATAAATAAAAAATCTAAAAAAAAAAAAAAATTCTAGGGCGCCTGGGTGGCTCAGTTGGTTAAGCGACTGCCTTCGGCTCGGGTCATGATTCTGGAGTCCTGGGATCGAGTCCCGTATCCGGCTCCCTGCTCAGCAGTGAGTCTGCTTCTCCCTCAGACCCTCCCCCGTCTCATGCTCTATCTTATTCTCTCTCTCAAATAAATAAAATCTTTAAAAAAAAAAAATTCTAAGGTTAAAAATTACTTCCCATCCTAGTTCAATAGTCTTTTCATCATGATGATTGTTTCTGAACTCCCAGACTACCTTTGATACTATCAGCCACAGTACCTCTCCTATCTTTGGCTTCTATAGCAATGATGTACTTCCTGGTTCTTCTCAGAATGTTTACCTGTTAGTCTATAATGTCACCCAAAATTCCAAACCTTGAAGCTCTTTCACCATCATACTACTAACTTCCCATCACTCATCTGTTTTTTACTACCATCTACACAGCCCTCTGGTCAGTGAACAATCTACATTTTCATCTCTATTAAACCTATTAACAATGTACTACAGATACTTCAGATACTTCAGTCTTACTCTAGTCAATTCTTGTCTCCACTAAGGCTGAGAAGCAGTAGTGGCTCAACCAAAATAATTCTTACGCTATTTCTATGTGGCTTTGCAATGTGGGGTACATTTTTTTCTTCTGAATAGATCTGTTTTTCTAATTGTTTTGCTTAAACTAGTCTTCATTTCCAGAGTCAAACCAGCAAGGAGAAAAGGCCCTTAGGACTGGCAGGAAACTAGCCTGCTATTGAAAAACTGACTGTACCCCATCTAATGTTGCCCATAACCAATCTTAGCTCATTTTCATTCACAGTGATATTTTCCTAATTTCCTATTATCAGTCATCCTCCCAGGACTCCAGGCTTTTATCTTTTAATGCTTTTTGTTTTCTTCCCTTTGTCCACAATCATCACTAAGTTCAAATTAATTTTTACTCACACATTCATCTTCTTACATATCCTATGCTTCTTCCTTAGGATAGCATAATTTAATGATTAAATGCAAAAGCTCAAAGATGAGACTGCCTGGGTTCAAATCCTGGCTCTGCAGCTTACTCTCTACGGGATTTGGGGCAAGTCACCTAACCTCTCTGTAACTCAGTTTTTTCATAGGAATAGTTAAAAGATTTTTGAGAAGATTCTGAGATAAATACATGTAAAGAGCTTAGAACAATGCCTGGCATACAGGAAACAATAAATGTAGTTATTATTTTATTCCCATAATCATTACCTTATGTCAGACTCTCACCTTATTCCTAAAATTCTCCAAGACCATTCTAGTCAGTCTCCTCACTTCAGAACACTCAGACAATACAGAACCTTCCTCAGGCACAAGAGGCATTATCTCATTCCCAGTCTTTAGAACCCAATATGGTACCCCATCAAACTAAACCTTACATCCTTCATAGGTCCTCCACCAACACCTACTCACCAATCCTGAACTCATATATTACTATTACCAATACAGATTCTCTATGCAGGTCAACCTACTTGCTATCTCTTTTTTTTTTAAGATTTTATTTGTCAGAGAGAGAGAGAGCGCGCGCGCAAGAGTACAAGCAGGGGGAAGAGAAAGCAGAGGGAGAAGCAGGCTCCCTGCTGAGCAAGGAGACCGATGGACCGATGATGCAGGACTCGATCCCAGGATCTGGGATCATGACCTGAGCCAAAGGCAGACACTTAACTGAGTCACCCAGGCATCCCTTGCTATATCTTTTTATACAGTCACTTCTTTATACCTCTATAAATACTCCTTCACTCTCCTGGAATACATCTCCTCCCCTTTGAAAATTCCTATCTTCTGCAAATCTCACTTATACCTTTGAGGTTGGCTGCACTGTTATCCCAACCAGGAGTCTGATGTTACTTGGTAATTTATGAATATGTATGTTACATGTTGTTTCCCCAAAGTTGAAACATTTATAAAGACCCCGTATTTTACTCCTTATCTCATCATACAGACTACTTCACACACAGCACAGTATTTTGCAGAAGTATACAAATGCTGACTTACTAAATAATAATCAGAATAATCAGAAAAAGTCTCTATTTTCCACTGCCCCACCCATACTTAGCATGATAGAAGCAGATAATCTATATTTAAATATCTTCATTTTGCATAGAATATACTAACAATTGTACCACATAAAAGGAATATATACACACACACACAAAGAGAACACACAATGCAAAAAACAAATCAAGAAAAAGTGAGCATGCTAGCCAGCTTGGAATCTAAAAAGTGACTTCAAAATATTAAGATTTTATTTCACCCAAACTAATGAACCAAAAAGAGCCAAAATAAACATGTCCTGACCCCATCCAACAAATACTCATAAAAGCATGAAAAGTCCCCAGTATCACAAAAACCAATACCAAGATTCACCTCACCTCCAAGAGATACAAAAAGAAAACAAAAATCCTCAGGTTTATAATAAAAACAAACAAAAAACTTAAAAATTTCAACCACATCCATATATGCCAAACAGAAAAATGAAGGGAGTTACTGCTTTTCTATAAATATTTGCTATGGTCTAGGAGGAATAAGGCTTCTCTCACTGCTACTGTAGCCTGCTCCCTGTTAAGGGAGCAATCTGTGGTCACACAAGAGGGAAACACAGGAAACTGGAAACCTTAACCTGGAACGGACATTACGGAAAGAAACTGCCCAAAACATGTTTCAAAACCAGGTTCAAAAAACAGAGTAGCGCAAAGATACTCAACAGAAAAAGAGCGAAAGTGAAATAAAAGAGCTCCCACGAAATATGTGTCTCAGTGAAACTATCTAGTACCGCGTTCCAAGTGAAGAGCCATGCATGTAATATTTTCATAAAATGCGCTCGTTTCACTGCGAAGCAAAATAGAAGGAAAAAATAAAGGTCAGGAAAAGACAAAAAAGATGCCCACCAAACGCTAACTGCCGGGCCAGCCCAACTCAGCTCATTCAGGAATCCAACTAGAAGCAACAGACATGTGAACCGCACAACACAGAAAAGAAAAACCTTTGCCAACCAAACACGCAAAAAGTAGAACGGAGAAGTGAAAACTACACACCTCAGTGCATCAGCAGCAAGAGCACACTCTTTTGGATTAAGCAATAGAGAAAAGAACGATAACAGCTAAAAGCAGAGGAGGAAAGATGTCTATGAAACTAAGCCCCATGTCCCCTGCTCGTCTCAATTTCAGGGAGTACAACTCTTGCTTCTCCCAGCTCACCAACAGTCGGCCTCAGCAAAGCAAACTGACCCTAACACCTTCCACGCCACGGGAGGAAATCACAGAGAAAAAAACACCACGTAAACCTCCCTCTTCACCAGCTGCAAAAAATGGAGGGGGGAGGGGGGAGACACCCTACCACGTGGGCAGGATGCAACACACACAGGACAGCAACACGTCCGCATGGAACGGCTGCCTCTGCCCCAATGCCCGCAGAGGACACGGCGTCAGGATGGGTGGGAACGGAGGCCCCTCGCACGGGCCTCACCCCGAAGGGCACCCCCGAGGCTCGAGGTACTGCCCGCCTCGCCGGCCGAAAAACGTCCCCCAAGCTTGAAGGGAAGAAGCTGCATCGTGCCGAGGTAAGGGGCCAGCCCAGGCCAACGGGCAGGTCATTGAGAGGAGGAGACGGCCGCTGTCCTCGGACTTGGCACCCCTAGGAACCCCATCTGGCTCCCCGAGCCCCGCCTGGGGGAGGGGCGGCAGGCGCGGAGCCGCCGCTTCCCGGCTGAGGGGCAGCAGCAGCTGAGGAGAAGCGCCGCGGGGGAGGGAGGGACCCAGCCCTCGCCGCCCGCCAGGCCCCAGCCCGGACCCGGGCCCCCTGCCCCGCCCGCCGCCCACCCCGCAGCGCGGCGCGGCCGAGAAGGGAGAGGGCGTCTCGCGGAGGGCAGCCCCTGCCTCCGTCCCGGGAGATGCCCCAGCCCCGCCTCCTCGCCCGCCGCCTCGGCCCCGCCACCCCGGCGGCGGGCACTCACCTCAGGCTGCGCAGGCCGGGACGGCCCGGCCGAGCCCCCGGCCGCTGCGTGCGTCTCCGCCTCCCGGGAAAGGTCCCAACGGCGCCTGGTGCGAGCGGCCGAGGCCCCGAGCAGCGCCGAGAGCGGCGGCGGCAGCGGGAGCAGCCAACATCCGGGGCCGCGCACCCGGAACTACTTCCCGACCCGCTCCCCTCCCGCCTCCGCCGTCGCCCCCGCCTCCCGCGACGTCGCTGCGCCACCGGCACGGCGTCGGCGGCGTCCCCTCCCTTCCGCGGGCACGGCCGTGGCGACGCGCGCGGGATCCCTCCGCTGGGACAAGTAGTGCCCTGGGACGCCGGGATATCTACCTACACGCAGCGCGTATTTTGGAGTTCCGAACGATTTGGGGTCCCTGCGCTTCAGAGTGGCGGCTAGGAAGTGGGGCGGCGGGGACGGCCCCGTAGTTGAGGACAGCAGGGACCTTCGGCCTCGGACCCTGCTCACGAATTCCTCAGGCCCCATGCCCGGGAGGGATGGCGCTTCGTGACCTTGCCCCCCAGCCCGACCCCGCCACCTCCTGGTAGCGACAGGCACCCGAACCTCTCCGGGAAAACCAGACCCCTTTTCCAACTTTGCACAGCGCGGGTTCTACAGGCCCCAAATAAGAGCACCTTAGACCTTCAGGACACCCTTTTAGAACTTTACAAGTCCCAGGTTCTAGACCCATCTGTCGAGGCCGTTCCCTGTCCTAGCCTTAGTTTCCTTCTTAAAACAGAGCAGCTGGCACTCTAAAGGCCCTTCTGATTCTAAAATACTTGTTTAGGTTATGGTCTTTGCTATCAACAGGTGGAACCTTTAGAAGGGTAGTTAGGAAGACTTGTGAACTTTGGAATTTCCTTCTACGTCAGTCTTCACTGATTCTTTCTCTAAACTACTAGCACTGCTAATCTGCTCTGTAATTTCATACTTAATTACATTCAGACCTCTAATTTGCTATTGCTTCATTGGGTTAGTCACATATATATAAGCAAGCACCAAGGATGCTTTTGAACTCACAGTAGGTGTTCAATATTTGGATACTCAGATATCTGTTGGGTGAATACTAGGTTGATTGGATGAAAGAAAAAGGAGAGGCCTGAGCGAATTGGCCTTGGAAACCGTTTTTGACATGGTCTTGTAGGGATCAGATAAAGACCTCAGGTAGTTAAAGAGCTGAGTACCCAGTTCCTTCAGCAAACATTGAACACCTGCCATTTGCCAAGCATTTATTTCCTTCTCTATTTAAGACTCTAGCAAGAATCTAGGGGCCCCTGGGTCATTCAGTCGGCTAAGCCTCTGCCTTGGCCTCAGGTCATGTGACCTTGGGTCCTGGGATCAAGCCCCACATCTGGCTCTCTGCTCAGCAAAGAGTCAGCTTCTCCTTTTCCCTCTGCCTCTCCCCCCACTCTTGCGCAGGCGCACGCTCTCTGTCTCTCTCAAATGAATAAATAAAATCTTAAAAAAAGAAAAAGACTGTAGCAAGATTCTGAAAATAAAAATATTCATTCACGCATTTGTCCAACAAATATTTTCCAATTACTACTAAGGTTGTCAGACACTATTTTAGTGCTTAGGATGTATCGGCAAACAGTAGAGAGAGGAGAAAACATAGCCTTCCCTTTTGGAGCTTTCATCTATTATGGGGAGAAAGGCGATTAACATAACAAGAAAATTATTTGGTGTGTTAAAAGGTATTTAGCATTATGGGGGAAAATAGACGGTTAAGAGGTAAGAAGAAAACTGGAGGAGGGCGGGGCTTGGGTTTTTTTTTTTAAACAACAGTGGTTTATTTATCAATAATGGGTTTATTTGTTCAACAAATACTTAAGCCAAACCATGTGTTAGGTGCTGGGGCTTCCGTGGAGAACAAGCCAAAGTTCCGACCTGGTGGACTCCCCAGCTAGTGGAGACCACATGCCAAGTGCTTTCCTGTGTCCTCTCATGCAATGCTTTCACAAGTCTGTGAGAAAGGACTCCTCTGTTCATGTTTGCAGCTAATGAAATTAAGGCTCAGGAGAGAAAAACCAGCCAGGATTCAAACCTGAGGGCTTCAGAGTCCAACTCCCTTTCTAGCTTCACCTCAGCTGAGATCTCGTATTTTTCTGTTTCATTATACCTCACCTCTTTCATCATGGAAACTCATGCATTAATCTAGGCAAATGGCCTTAGGCTGGTATTGGGGCAAAAGGGAGGGAGAAAAGGAAAATATTTAGAGGAGAGGGAGGACTTATCAAAACATCTAGACCTGTAAAGCAAAGTAATAGGGGTAGCAAAGAGGATTTAGTGGAAGAGAAATGAAGGTAGATTCATAATATTCCACTTCTGGTTTTACAGGATGGGCTTTTAAACAGCCATGAGGGAGAGCCCAATTCAAGATGACTTTAATGAGAAACTTGAAAGAGGTGAGGGAGTGAGCCATGCCATTGTCTGGGAGTGTCCCAGGCAGAAGGAATAGCAAGTAGAAAGGCCTGGAGGCGAAAGCATTCCTGGAAGTGTTAGAAACAGTGAGGAATCCAGGACAACTAGAGCAGGGTGAGCAACTGAGACAGGAATGGGCTGATAAGGTCAGTGGGGTCTTGTGGGCCCTGTAAGGATCTTGATTAAAATAAAACCACCACAGGGCTCTGAACAGAGGAGCAGTAGGGCAGTTCATGCTTTCAAAAGATCACTCTAGCTGCCGTGCTAGGAGTAGAGTGAGCAATGAGCCGACAACGTTGGAAGTCAGAGGCTCCACTATCCTGGTTCAAGATGAGGACTTGGACCAGGCTGATAGAGTGAGTAGGAAAAATAGGAAACAGTCTCTATACTTTAAGAACTCACAGTATAGTGGGAAGCACACAGATTAGACAATCACAATACACTGTGATAAGGGAAAGAGAATCCAGAAGAAGGGGCTACCATTGCCAGCTTCCCTGAGAGAGGATAGAAGACCCACATTCTACCAAGTTGCCAAGGGAATTGGACGTCTCTAGTTCTTTTTGGGGCTGTTGGGTGAATCCTTGATAACATGGCTAAAATTTGTCTTCTTCCCAGCCCTTCAGGTCCCAAAACCCACCATCATCTGGGGGCCATAGGCAGAAGGGTTCTAAAAAACAGTCTGGGTCATGCAATTAAGAATATGGGGAAAGCTGAGATTATCCCTATTTGTTGGAGGAAGAAACTGTGGCCAATAGTCACCAGGTTTTAACCTGAGACTAGGATCGAGGTCATCAGAGTCCCAAACTAGAAGTCTCTCTGAGCCACTTGAGCAGGGTCAGCCAGATGATGGGGTAAAGGAATGGAAAGACTTGTATCTGGACAGCTGCCAGAATGGGGTTGGGGGCTTGCAGATCAGCAGTCTTTGAGAAGGAAAGAAACACAAGTCCCAGAATGTCAAAGATGGAGGAGCACCCCTCCCCATCCTCCCAAAAAAAGTTTTAATGGCCATAGCCAGCAGGGTGCTATGGGGGGATTCTGGGACCTGGTAGGACCAGGGAGGAAAAGCTTAAAACTCAGACTGGGAAGGCAGACCTGGGTTCAATCTCGTGTTCCATAGCTTTCTGTGTGCCTACATCAAGCGATTTACTTTCACTTAGTCTCTATTTTCTTGCCTATTAAATGGAAACAAGAATCATAGCTACCTAGCAAAAAAGACCATACCATGCACATGCTGCCATAAAATAAAGACACCTGCCCCCCCACACTGTCGGGGCGCCTGGGTGGCGCAGTCGGTTGAGCGTCTGACTTGATTTCGGCTCAGGTTGTGATCTTAGCTAAGGTCATGAGATCAAGCCTAGTGCCCAGCTGTGTGCTGAGTGCAGAATCTGCTTGGGTTTCTCTCTCTCCCTCTCCCTCCGCCCCTTTCCCCCACCCTCTCAAATTAATAAATAAATCTTTAAAAATATTTTTTAAATAATGATTAAAAAATAAATAGAAATAAAAGCCCCGAAAGGCATTATTATGTACGAGGTCGAGTGTTGGCACAGAAGAAAGTAGTTCACACAGTCCTGGGGGTGGGGTGGGGGGCTGGCCTGCAGGGTGGGGGAGCAGGGGGGCCCTCAAAGAGGAGATCAACTCAAGGGACAGAGCCTTAAGAGAAATACATTGCTCACAGCAATGAGATAGAGGTTTTATTGTTTTGTGTTGTTTGTAATCTTTTCCCAGCCTCATGTGGATTATAAATTCCCTGAAAGAAACACAGCCCTGAGCTGGGCTGCAATTGCCCTACAAAAACCTCGATTCAGCTGCACGGGCGGTTCATCAACAGCGGGGTGTTCAATGCTTCACATGACCCCCAGCCACTTAGACAAATGAGGCTTTACCTGATCCTTTTCTTTCTCTTCGTGTATTGTAAGAGGAAAGCAGAAAATGAGAAATGAGTTTAAAATGAGCAAGACCTACAAGAGGAAGAGAGAAAAACATGAGAGTCCCTCCTATTATTCCCAGCCCTAGAGGATCCTTCCCGATTCCCTGGATATCTTTAGATAATACTTTATATTTTGTGTATTGGATGAACAACAACAACAAAGTCTATATACAAAGGCCACTGGGAAGCTCTCAGCATGACAAATGCTATTTAAAGACAACACTTGGGAGTTGGGTGTTGGTCACTGTGCATCCTTAACTAGCATTCACTAATCATTTATTGAGACCCTACTCTATACCATGCATTGGGCTGAATACTAGGGAGTCAAAAGGGAATAAATAAATTTTCTATTTTCAATGTGCTCCTAGGCTTCTGGAGAAGCAGACATGTGAACAATCCCAGTGCAATTTGGTAGAGATTTGTACTTGTGCCATGGAAACAGAAAAAACAAGGCTTAACTCGGATTAGATGGGGATGGGGGCACCAAAAAAAACTGCACCCTTAATGGTAAGGTTAAGACTAAGTCTGAATAAATGAGTAGGCGTTTGCCATGTAGAGACAGAAGCAAGGCTGGAGTAGAGGAAGAAAATCTGGGGTAGCAGAGGATAGCTTATATAAGTCAGAGGTTGGGTGAATATGAGAAAAATAGAGACCATGGAAATTACAGTCATGTAGGTGGTCATTAAACACGAGTGACTGATGGGAATAACTAACTCATAAAACTAGACCATATCACTCTATGTAAACCATCCATAAAATGAGTTCCTGGCCTCTAAGAACTTGGTATTAACTT